ACACCAGAAATAAATATCTCTTTGATATCCCCAGAGTCAAACTTAATCTATGTAAACACTCTATGCAAATTAAGGGACCTAGTCTATGGAACTCACTCCCTAGTGAATTGAAAAGCTGTCAAACTTTTGCCTCATTTAAAAACAAAAACAAAAAGTACCTAATTTCATATATAAATATATATATATATATATATATATATATATATATATATATATATATATATATATATATATATATATATATATATATATGCGTTAACAACACTCCTCTTGTACCTGTCGGGGCAGTCGCTGTTGGCATATATATATATATATATATATATATGTCGTACCTAGTAGCCAGAATGCACTTCTCAGCCTACTATGCAAGGCCCGATTTGCCTAATAAGCCAAGTTTTCATGAATTAATTGTTTTTCGACTACCTAACCTACCTAACCTAACCTAACCTAACTTTTTCGGCTACCTAACGTAACCTAACCTATAAAGATAGGTTAGGTTAGGTTAGGTAGGGTTGGTTAGGTTCGGTCATATATCTACGTTAATTTTAACTCCAATAAAAAAAATTTACCTTATACATAATGAAATGGGTAGCTTTATCATTTCATAAGAAAAAAAATAGAGAAAATATATTATTTCAGGAAAACTTGGCTTATTAGGCAAATCGGGCCTTGCATAGTAGGCTGAGAAGTGCGTTCTGGCTACTAGGTACGACATATATATATATATATATATATATATATATATATATATATATATGTTGTACCTAGTAGCCAGAACGTCGAACTCGGCCTGCTATGCAAGGCCCGATTTGCCTAATAAGCCAAGTTTTCCTGAATTAATATATTTTCTCTAATTTTTTTCTTATGAAATGATAAAGCTACCCATTTCATTATGTATGAGGTCAATTTTTTTTTATTGGAGTTAAAATTAACGTAGATATCGGACCGAACCTAACCAACCCTACCTTACCTAACCTAACCTATCTTTATAGGTTAGGTTGTGTTAGGTAGCCGAAAAAGTTAGGTTAGGTTAGGTTAGGTAGGTTAGGTTGTCGAAAAACAATTAATTCATGAAAACTTGGCTTATTAGGCAAATCGGGCCTTGCATAGTAGGCTGAGAAGTGCGTTCTGGCTACTAGGTACGACATATATATATATATATATATATATATATATATATATATATATATATATATATATATATATATATATATATATATATATATATATATGTCGTACCTAGTAGCCAGAACGCACTTCTCAGCCTACTACGCAAGGCCCGATTTGCCTAATAAGCCAAGTTTTCATGAATTAATTGTTTTTCGACTACCTAACCTAACCTAACCTAACTTTTCCGGCTACCTAACCTAACCTAACCTATAAAGATAGGTTAGGTTAGGTTAGGTAGGGTTGGTTAGGTTCGGTCATATATCTACGTTAATTTTAACTCCAATAAAAAAAAATTGACCTCATATATAATGAAATGGGTAGCTTTATCATTTCATAAGAAAAAAATTAGAGAAAATATATTAATTCAGGAAAACTTGGCTTATTAGGCAAATCGGGCCTTGCATAGTAGGCAGAGAAGTTCGTTCTGGCTACTAGGTACGACATATATATATATATATATATATATATATATATATATATATATATATATATATATATATATATATATATATATATATATATATATATATATATAATATAATATGTATGAGAGAGAATATTCTTCACCAACACTTAATGTAATATTCATGAACATAAATATTAAAATTAATCACTATTACATGTCGGATATCCCGGTTATCTTAACTTATCTCCACTTATCTTAAATAAATAATACACCCAGCGGCAAAGAGAGAGAGAGAGAGAGAGAGAGAGAGAGAGAGAGAGAGAGAGAGAGAGAGAGAGAGAGAGAGAGAGAGAGAGAGAGAGAGAGAGAGAGAGAGAGAGAGAGAGAGAGAGAGAGAGAGAGAGAGAGAGAGAGGCAACTGTTAAGCTATTTTAAGTAATATTTAAAATTAAGAAACCTTAAGCGATCTTCACACCAAATCCCATCTTAGGTATTTTTGTCTAGATATATCGAGTGTGAATTACGACAGATTATAACCCCCAGTCGGCGGCCTCGACCCTCTGCAGGCAGAGAACAATTTAGTTTATTTTTGTGGTGCGCAGTTCAGGGGTTACTAGGTCTTCCTGGCGTCTATTTCTGGCTTGAGCAGGCTAATCAATTATGCTTTCTGGTGGGCAGGTATTAGCCAGGTCCCCCTCTCCCCCCTCCCCCCTAGCTAGGTTGCGTGCAATATACAGCAGTTGTCTAACTTCCAGGTAAAAAAGTGGCATCAGGTGAAAGGAAACGTGCCCAACCGTCCCTGTCATATCGCCGGAATTGACCCGGGAATCGTTTGTTGTGAGCCTGCGACGTAGACTACTCTGCTTTGGGAGGGAAAAGGGTGTTATAATAATTATTATTATAATTATAATTATTATTACAATTATAATTATCATAATTATTATCATAGTTACAATTATTATTACAATTATAATTATTATTATTATAATTATTAAATATTTATTGGCCGGAATGAACTGGATTTGTAATACAACGCTTACTGGAAATAGCTGAACATATATACTGACTCAGTAAACACCTTACATCAAGGACGCCTCAGTAAACACCTTACATCAAAGACGCCTCAGTAAGCGGCCTGCGGGCCGCTCCAAGCAACAGCCTGTTGGACCAAGCTCTCATAAGTCACGCCTGGCCTCAGGCCGGGTTCGGGGAGTAGAACTCCCAGAACCATTGCTCTAAGGTAATTTGTATTTATAATTTCTATGTTGCATTATAATTAATTAGAGTAATTGCAAAGGTGATTTGTTTTATGCAAAGTAAGGATCTTAACTGATTATGCTGATGGGAAGTTGAGTACATATTAATAGCAACACTTATGCATGATTACTTGGCTAGGCTTGCACGTTTTCTTCAACATTATTTGTTTGCATTTTTAGTTTACCTCATTCTGTGTACATAAATTATAATTCTTAGTGCAATATTGCACATCAGACTATAATTGATTAACAGGAAAAGCCTTATAACCTACAAATACCTACATATATTTATATACATTTTGGCAGTGGAAATTAATACAAGTACATATATATTGTACTGTGATCTATGTTAGCTACATTACCTTGAGGTTACCTTGAGGTGCTTCCGGGGCTTAGCGTCCCCGCGGCCCGGTCGTCGACCAGGCCTCCTGGTTGCCGGACTGATCAACCAGGCTGTTGGACGCGGCTGCTCGCAGCCTGACGTATGAGTCACAGCCTGGTTGATCAGGTAAATGATAAAAGCTACATGATAAAAGATTTATCAAGAAGTGAACTGAATTGAACTTCAGTTGATAATATCTTTAAGTTTGTTAGAATAATTAGAAACTAATTAGGCTCAGGGATACGCCCTTCTGGATCTTATAGTCGCTAGTCAGTAGGCTGCGCGAGGCGCCGTTTTTTCAATTATTTATCCATACAAAAAATATCATTCCTTTGCCTGATTTATCCGAGGGTCACTATCTCTCAAGTGGCCTCGACGAGGACTGGAAGCCGCCGGCTTATCGACGATCCCGTAATTTGTCTTAATGATTTTGTTGCGCTGGATTTTAACATGCGTTTTGGCATTTACGGCTTCGGCGGGTAGGCGGTCCCATGAGTTAATAACCCTGTGGGTGGAGGATTAGTACCTGTATGATTACAATCACCCGTATCTATACTACCAGCAGCGCCATATTCAGCAACCCACCCCTACCTCTCCGACGCATGGCGGCCGCCGCTACCGTCAATAGTCACGTAGCTACCTACCCACCCATTGATTGATGAAGATTAAGCTAACTAATAGGTAGCACGGGTATGAATAGCCCGTAAAGCTACCCACCAACGCCTATCAGTGTTTGTGCACCTGTTACAGCCCCGCTCCTGTGCCAGGTAAGTCCAATACGGGTTCACCATAGCCCGTGCTACTTGCAACTTGTTCCCAGTAGCTGAATCTAAAACAACAACAACAGCCTATCAATGTTTATATTTTGAGGGGCGACGCATCATATGATTGTAGCGCAAAAATATTTAGCCAGTTGTATGTGTTAAGATATTAGTGTGTGACGGAACAGTTAAGAAAATACATTCTTATTAGAATGTAAAAACTCTTGTATATATAAATAAAATAAAATAAAAATATATGTGTGAGAAGCAAAGATTGGAGAGAGCAGCGAGAGTAATGTTTTTGAAGGTTGGGAATTAAGCCTTATAGTTAAGGCTACTGTGCTGAGTCCTCTTTGTGGAATATTTAAGTGTGGTTTTAGCTTTATTTTTTTTCGAACTCTGTAAAGTGAATAGTACCAAATTCTACTGTCTAATTGTCTATTATGTCTTATGTACGATGGTCCACATAGTTACACAAGCTAAACAGGAAGATGGGTTGTTATGTTCACAATGCAGGCGTCAACAGTGTCATCAATGCAGGCGTCAACAGTGTCATCAATGCAGGCGTCAACAGTGTCATCAATGCAGGCGTCAACAGTGTCGTCAATGCAGGCGTCAACAGTGTCATCAATGCAGGCGTCAACAGTGTCATCAATGCAGGCGTCAACAGTGTCGTCAATGCAGGCGTCAACAGACAGTTTTTACAATACAGGCGTCAACAGACAGTGTTGACAATGCAGGCGTCAACAGACAGTGTTGACAATGCAGGCGTCAACAGACAGTGTTAACAATGCAGGCGTCAACAGTGTTGACAATGCAGGCGTCAACAGACAGTGTTGACAATGCAGGCGTCAACAGACAGTGTTCACAATGCAGGCGTCAACAGACAGTGTTCACAATGCAGGCGTCCTGTGATTGGTCAATAATCCTGTGACGTCCTGTGATTGGTCAATAATCCCGGCGTGGCAACTCTTAGACTCCACCAGGTCGACCCAGTCCGCGACCCTCAGTTGCCCTCCCGACGCTGCAGGGGTAGGGTGTTGCCTGGTGTCTCCGCTGAACACCTCTCTATACCCTCGTTACCCTACTAACATATCCTTGCTGAACTGATATCATTAGTGTTCTGTGCAGTTTTGTGAGACGTCTTGTGTCAGTGATAAGACAAAGAAATATTATCCAGGAGCAAATTACAGCATGTTAAACGAGATTTATAAGTGAAAGATTAATTGGAAATTGATGAAGGGGTTTAATTGATGATTGAGAGTAGTGGTTAGTGGATAGATTAGGTCTATCCACTCCTGGGAAAACGCTTCTAACATCTCAGGAGAGGTAAGTTGTCCTTAATAACTGGAGGAAGTAGTTACGGTGATTTCAGTGGTTGTTCGGCTTGGTGGTTCGTGTCTCGAATATAGTAGTCCTTCGGGTTTCTATAGATACTAAGTTAGTGATTGTGTTAGTGTAGGGAGGCGTCACTAAAGGGCAGGTCACAACAGTATAGGCAGTTGATAGTGTTAAGGATTGTGATGTTGTGTACCTTGACTTTAGCAAAACTTTTGATACAGTGCCACATGAAAAACTGATTAAAAAGATAGAGGCTCATTGTATTGGGGGTGCTATATTAAGATGGATTAGGGAATGGCTATACCAAAGGAAACAGAGTTAGTATAAATGGGGTTAAGTCAGTAGGAAAATGTTGTAAGTGGAGTGCCTCAGGGCTCTGTCCTGGGACGTCTGTTGTTTATAATATATATAAATGATTTAGATTCAGGTTTGAGCAGCAACATTTGCAAATTTGCCGATGATACAAAAATCGGTAGGGAAATTAACACGGAAGAAGACTCACTATCACTACACGTTGATCTAAGTAGGGTTTTGAAATAAGAACATAAGAACAAAGGTAACTGCAGAAGGCCTATTGGGCCATACAAGGCAGCTCCTATTTATAACCACCCAGTCCTGTAAACCTCTATCATGTCACCCCTAACTCTTCGCCTTTCCAGTGAATGCAACTTAAGCTTTGTTAATCTTTCTTCATATGAAAGATTTCTAATTTGGGGAATTAACTTAGTCATCCTACGCTGGACACGTTCAAGTGAATTTATATCCATTCTATAATATGGCGACCAAAACTGAACTGCATAATCTAAATGGGGCCTAACTAGAGCAAGATATAGCTTGAGAACCACACCAGGTGTCTTGTTACTAACGCTGCGATTAATAAATCCAAGTGTCCGATTTGCCTTATTACGAACATTTATGCATTGATCCTTTTGTTTTAAATTCTTACTAATCATAACTCCCAGATCCCTTTCGCAATCCGACTTCGCAATCACAACACCATCTAGCTCGTATCTTGTAACTCTATCATCATTACCTAACCTCAGAACTTTACATTTATCAGCATTAAACTGCATCTGCCAATCCTTTGACCATTTCAAAACCCTATCTAGATCAACTTGAAGTGATAGTGAGTCCTCCTCCGAATTAATTTCCCTACCGATTTTCGTATCATCGGCAAATTTGCAAATGTTGCTACTCAAACCTGAATCTAAATCATTTATATATATTATAAACAACAGAGGTCCCAGGACAGAGCCTTGAGGCACTCCACTTACAACATTTTCCCACTCTGACTTGATTCCATTTATACTAACTCTCTGTTTCCTTTGGTATAGCCATGCCCTAATCCAGCTTAATATAGCACCCCCAATACCATGAGACTCTATTTTTTTAATCAGTCTTTCATGTGGCACTGTATCAAAAGCTTTGCTAAAGTCAAGGTATACAACATCGCAATCCTTACCACTATCAACTGCCTCAACAATGCTAGAATAAAAAGATAACAAATTTGTTAAACATGAACGGCCATTTATAAAACCATGTTGCGACTCAATTATTAATTTATGTTTTTCAAGATGAAGACGAATTTTATTTGCTATTATAGATTCGAGTAACTTTCCCACAATAGACGTTAGGCTAATTGGTCGATAGTTAGACGCAAGTGATCTATCTCCTTTCTTAAAAACTGGTATCACATTAGCAACTTTCCAAAACTCTGGCACTCTGCCTGACTCTATTGATTTATTAAATATGGTTGACAGTGGGTCACAAAGCTCCTCTTTGCATTCTTTAAGCACCCTGGCAAACACTTCATCCGGCCCTGGGGATTTGTTTGGTTTGAGTTTTACTATTTGTTTAAGAACATCCTCCCTGGTAACTGCTAAACTCGTCAACCTGTCCTCGTCCCCACCCACATAGACTTGTTCGGCTGAAGGCATATTGTTAAGTTCCTCTTTAGTAAATACAGATACAAAATATTTATTAAAAATACTACTCATCTCTTCATCACTATCTGTTATTTGACCTGTCTCAGTTTTTAATGGACCTATCCTTTCCCTAGTCTTAGTACGATATAACTGAAAAAACCCTTTAGGATTTGTCTTTGCTTGCCCTGCTATGCGAACTTCATAGTTTCTTTTTGCTTTCCTTATCTCTTTTTTAACATTTCTAACCAGTTGTACGAATTCCTGTTCTAAAGTGACCTCCCCATTTTTAATCCTTTTGTACCAAGCTCTCTTTTTACCTATAAGGTTCTTCAAATTCTTTGTTATCCACTTTGGGTCATTAGTATTCGATCTATTCAATTTGTATGGTATACTACGTTCCTGTGCTTTGTTTAGAATATTCTTAAATAAGTTATATATTGAATCCACATCGAAATCCCCATTTAAGTCACCTATCGCTGGGTTCATGTCTCGCTCCAAGACCGGCCCACACCCCATACCCAAGCCTTTCCAATCAATTTGACCCAAAAAATTTCTTAGGCTATTAAAATCAGCTTTTCGAAAATCTGGCACTTTAACAGAATTTTCTCCTACTGGTCTATTCCATTCTATGCTAAATCTGATTTCTTTGTGATCACTGCTCCCTAGCTCACTCCCTATTTCGATGTCATTAATTTGCGTTTCCCTGTTAGTTAACACTAAATCTAAAATATTATTTTCCCGTGTTGGTTCCTTAATGTGTTGCGTAAGAAAGCAATCGTCAATTAATTCTAGAAAATCTTCTGCTTCACTATTCCCTGTTTTGTTCAACCAGTTTATTCCGCTAAAATTAAAGTCACCCATGACATAAATACTGTTAGATCTAGATGCTCTAGATATTTCATCCCATAGATGCTTTGCTTCCATTCTGTCTAAATTTGGTGGCCTATATATTACTCCTATTATAATATTATTAGCTTTTTCGTTTAATTCAATCCAAATAGTTTCTGTGTGTGGCTCTGTTTTGATTCCCTCTTTGAGACTACATTTCAAATTGTCCCTAACATATATGGCTACTCCACCTCCTCGTCTAATATATCTATCTGTGTGAAATAGTTTAAATCCATATATTTGATATTCAGCTAATAGTTCTCTATTTTCTACATTCATCCACGTTTCGGTAAGTGCAATAATCACTCATATACATGTCCAACGCACGCTTGAAACAATCGAGGGACCCCACCTCCACCACGTTACGCGGTAATTGGTTCCACAAATCAACAATCCTGTTACCGAACCAGTATTTACCCAAGTCTTTCCTAAATCTAAACTTATCCAATTTATACCCATTGTTTTGTGGTCTGTCTTGTGTTGATACTTATAATACCCTATTAATATCCGCTTTATGTCCATTCATCCACTTGTAAACCTCTATCATGTCACCCCTAACTCTTCGCCTTTCCAGTGATTGCAATTTAAGCTTTGTTAATCTTTCTTCACATGAAAGATTTCTAATTTGGGGAATTAACTTTGTCATCCTACGCTGGACACGTTCAAGTGAATTCATTCTATAGTACGGCGACCAAAATTGAACCCCTAACTCTTCGCCTTTCCAGTGAATGCAACTTAAGCTTTGTTAATCTTTCTTCATATGAAAGATTAACAAAGCTTAAGTGGAAATTTGTGGAACCAATTGCCGCGTAACACTGTGGAGGTGGGGTCCCTCGATTGTTTCAAGCGCGGGTTGGACAAGTATATGAGTGGGATTGGGTGGTTATAAATAGGAGCTGCCTCGTATGGGCCAATAGGCCTTCTGCAGTTGCCTTTGTTCTTATGTTCTTATGAACTGCATAATCTAAATGGGGCCTAACCAGAGCTTGATATAGCTGAAGAACCACACCAGGGTTCTTGTTACTAACGCTTCGATTAATAAATCCCAGTGTCCTATTTGCCTTATTACGAACATTCATGCATTGATCCTTTGGTTTTAAATTCTTACTAATCATAACTCCCAGATCCCTTTCGCAATCCGACTTCGCAATCTCAACACCATCTAGCTCGTATCTTGTAACTCTATCATCATTACCTAGCCTCAGAACTTTACAATTATCAACATTAAACTCCATCTGCCAATCTATTGACCATTTCAAAACCCTATTTAAAACGACTTGAAGTGACAGTGAGTCTTCTTCCGTGTTAATTTCCCTTCCGATTTTTGTATCATCGACAAATTTGCAAATGTTGCTACTCAAACCTGAATCTAAATCATTTATATATATTATAAACAACAGAGGTCCCAGGACAGAGCCTTGAGGCACTCCACTAACAACATTATCCCACTCTGACTTAACCCCATTTATACTAACTCTCTGTTTCCTTTGGTATAGCCATTCAATAATCCATCTTAATATAGCACCCCCATTACCATAAGCCTCTATCTTTTTAATCAGTTTTTCATGTGGCACTGTATCAAAAGCTTGGCTAAAGTCAAGGTACACAACACAATCCTTACCACTATCAACTGCCTCAATTTATACCTCTGCCTCAATTCAACTGCCCCCTATTTATACCTTAATAAATTGTGTACTCGCCTAGTTGTGCTTGCGGAGGTTGAGCTCTGGCTCTTTAGTCCCGCTTCTCAACTGTCAATCAACTGGTGTACAGATTCCAGAGTCTACTGGGCTCTATCATATCTACACTTGAAACTGTGTATGGAGTTTATGATCGCATATGACAGGTGTGTAGCAGTAGCAGCATACCTGGCTACTGCATATGTCAGGTGTGTAGCTGGAGCATAGGGCATAGGAGTACAAAGGTTAGAGGTAGTAATTAAATCAGATATTTGCATGATGTCTGCCGAACCCCCCCCCCCCCTCCCATTACGCGCTAGGCTTCCACAGTGAAAAGAATTTTGGTCCAGCATTTCGTTACGGTATTTTGGGCTAAAAACACAATATTTCGAAACGCCACCATTATTACTCGAATGTTAAATTCTCATTATACAAGATTCATACATCGGCATTTATACAGCGTTGTTGTGATGAGATAATTTATTTTAGATTTGAA